AATTTCTATCTCATAAGATTGAGTTTTTTTATGAATTTAGATCCTTCTTCACTTGGATTCACAAAAAACAAGGTTGTGCGATCTTGGTCATCCATAGTGACCATGGTGGAGAGTTTAAAAATGAGAGATTTTGAGACTTTTGTGAGGATAAAGGGATTAGTGTTAACTTTTCAGATCCTAGGATCCCTCAGCAGAACAGGGTATGTGAAAGGAAGAATAGGACCTTAGTTGAGGCTGTTAGAGTCATGCTTGCTAAGTATTCACTTCCAAAATACTTTTGGGCTAAACGATAAATACAGCTTGTTATCTATTTAATATGGTGAATGTTAGAGCCAAATTAGATAAGACGCCCTATGAGATCCTTAAGGGTAGGACACCCAACCTTTCCCACCTCCATGTTTTTGGCTGTAAGGTTATTATTCTTAATAATGGGAAGTCACCCTTAGGGAAATGTGACCCAAACTCTGATGGAGTGTTCTTAGGATATTCAAGTGTGGTGAAATCCTTTAGGGTGTTTAACAAGAGGACATTAGTGGTGGAGGAGACTACTCATGTAGTGTTTGATGAATCGGATCCTAAGAAGTCTAGAGTTGAGGATAAAGATTAAGTTGGAGAGATTTCCCAAGGAGTTGAAAATTTGGAGAAGAGGGTAGAGCCCCAAAACACTAAAGGAGTATGTGAGATTACCCAAGGAGTAGATAATACAAATTTGGAGAAAATGGTAGAACCTAAACACACTTTCCCTAGAGATTAGAGATATTACTCAAGTTATCCTAAAGAACAGATCTTAGGAGACCCTTCTGAAGGTGTTAGAACTAGGCATGGACTTAGGAAGAAAGTGAACCACACTGTCTTTATCTCAATAACTGAACCCACCAACATCAATCAAGCCCTATCTAATGAGTTTTGGATCTTAGCCATGGAGGATGAATTAAACTAATTTATTAGGGATAATGTTTGGGAGCTTGTAGAAAGACCAAAGGGATGAAGTATAGTTGGAACCAAATGACTCATTAAGAATAAGATGAATGATTCTGGTGTGATGGTTAGGAATAAGGAGAGATTAGTGGCTAAGGGGTACAACCAAATAGAAGGGATTGATTTTGAGGAGACATTTGCCTCTGTAGCTAGATTAGAAGCCATTAGAATGTTATTAGTCTTTACTTATTATAAGGGATTTAAGCTTTTTCAAATTCTACAGTAATCTATCTTATATAAATAATGTTAAAAGTCATTATATCACTTTCAAACTTTCATAATCTTGTTGTTGCATTTATCATATGAATTTGATTATGCTTTATGGTTTACTCTTTTTTATATTAGATAGTGGATTTTTCTTCTCTTATACCTGAAAGATATTCTCACAATTGAGCGTATTTAAAAGTTTTGAAAGGGATCTAGCTTGCAAAAATGACAAGCGAATAAAATGAGCCCAAAAAGAAGAAAAACTGAAAAGATGCGCAACTATCGCCTAAAAAAATGAAAGATATACAAAGTATATCAAAAATCAAAACATGCACAAAGTATACCAACTAAATAAGATGAGGCATAAAATAAGCCCACAAGAAAGCAAGCATTGGGAACTGAAGGTGAAAACAGATAGTTTGAATTCTACCTTAGCCCGTATTTGCACATGGTGGAGGTAGCGTGCAAAAGTCAAATGGCTGAAGGAATGAGATGCCAATACAAGTTTTTTTCATGCCTATGCTAGTGCAAGAAGGAATATGAATTTTATTCATAAGATAAAATATGAAAATGGGTTGATAATGGAAGATCAAAACCAGGTGGAAAACATCCTCAACAATTACTTCAAAAAAAATGGAAAGAAAGGGAATGCTCTTTGATGGGTTAGCCTGAACTGTGGAGGATATTAAAAGAGAATTTACCTTTAATGAAATGGAGGAAGTTATTCATGATCTTGGTGGAAACATAGCTCCTGGCAAAGATGGGATTTCCTATTCCTTTATCAAGGCATATTGGTCTATCATTAATGTAGACCTTTGGAATGCGGTGGATGACTTTTTTAAAACCGGAAGAATGTGCAAGGAGTGGAAAAAAACTATCATTGTATTGATTCCTAAGGTAAAGAATCCTCTTTCTCCCTCCAACTTTAGACCAATCAGTTTATGTACATCAGTTTACAAGATTGTAGCAAAAATGATCTTGAAAAGACTTTTACTTGTCATTGACAATCTCATTTCGGTGGAGCAAGTGGCATTCCTGAAAGGTAGGTCTTTATCAGACAATGTTTTGGTAGCTCATGAAATCTTCCACAAATTCAGGTACTCTAAATCTTCCAAAGGTTTAGTTTCTTTTAAAATAGATATGAAGCAAGACTGTGATTCTATGGGTTGGCCAACCTTATGCAAAGATTTGGATTATTTCAGTTTTCCATCTAGTTTTTCCAATCTTGTTATGGATTGTGTTTTCAACCCTTATTTTTCCTTATCTATTAATGGAAAATTATCCAATTGGATAGAAGCAAAAAGCGGATTTCGTCAAGGGTGTCCGTTATCCCCATTTTTGTTCATTTTATGTGCCCAATTATTGTCAAATGCATTTTATCAAAAGAAGGATTCGATTGGCATTCAAATTTCTCCAAATGGGCCTTTGATTTCACACCTTCTTTATGCCGATGACATCATGGTTTTCTCAAATGCTAGTATGAAGATGATCAAGGAGGTTAAAAATATTATCACAAACTTTTGTAGTTGGACGGGCCAATGTGTGAATCAAAATAAATCTGGATTGCTGTTTGTAAAATCTGTCAAGAAGGAGGAGGAAAATTGCTAAAGCTATGAACCTCAAAGAGATTAAGGAGTTTTCATACTTAGGAATCAAAATGGCGTTAAGAAAACTTTGCAAGGCTGACTTCCAATTTCTTTTGGAGAAAGTTCAAAGCATGTTAAACATACGAGGAGGGAAATTCATATCCTTGGCCTGCCGGTTGACATTGGTCAAATCTGTTTTGATATCCTTCCCTACATTTCACTCTTCCCTTTCTTTGGTTCCCAAAAGTATTTTGTATGATATTGATAAACAATGCAGAAATTTTATATGGAGTAAATGTGATGGGAGAAATGGTATTCACTATGTTAGTTGGGAAAGTTTATGCAGACCGATTTCTCATGGAGGTAGAGGATTGGTGCCAAGTGTAAAGAAAGCTGGTCCTCTTAGAGCTAAGCTAACATGGAAGTATTTTCAAAATAATGATGCATTAATGCATAAGCTCCTTGTACCTAAGTATGGTAATGTTATGAGCAATAATTCATCAGGGAACTATGGTTCAATTGCTTGGAAACTGCTTAAAAGTGGAGAAAAGTTCCTAAAACAGATTACCAAATGGAGAATTGCCAATGGAAGTTCTGTAAATGTATTAAAAGACACCTGGATCTTAGATAGAAATCTGGAAAAATGGCCAACATTTGTGCAAGCTAGAGAAGATTATGATTTCACGGTGGACAAACTAATTACAAATGGGAGCTGGGATGTAGCAAAGTTAGTTGAAATGTGTGGCTCGGAACTTGCAAAGTTGATTAATGCAGTCCAAATTTCGACTAAAATCGGAGAAGATAAGCTGGAATTACTCCAGTTTGCTACAGGAAAGACAATTACAGCAATGGCTATGGAGGTTTCTGAAGAAAATTCATGTGGTTCCTCTAAATGGGATTGGCTTAAAAGAGTTAAACTCAGCTCTAAAGTTGAAAATTTTTGGTGGAGAATGTTTCATAAAGTCATTCCCACAAATCATTTCCTTTTTCACAAAAGGCTTAAAAATTTTGAGAAATGTCCGTGGGGATGTGAACAAATTGAAGACATTGATCGCATTGTTTCGAAATGTGATAAGTTAATAGAAGCAATCCAGCTATTGAACAAATGGGGTTTTGGAATTCCTACTTTCATTTCTTTTGAAACTTGTTTCACATGGCTTCAAAGCAAGGATTTATGGTTGATCAATCTTTATTGCAATTTGGTTTATTTATCTTGGAGGGCTAGGAATGAATTTGTGCATGAAGGAAAACGTTCAAGCTCCTGGTTGTTAGCCACTAATGCGATAAGCTATGCCGCATTGTCAAAGAATTTGAATAATAGATGCTCGAGTATCTGGGTTGCTAACCAACCGATCGGGTTGATTAATGAAATTTGGCATCCCCCTCCACCCGATTGGATAAAAGTTAATGTTGATGCTTCACTATTTACTTCTTAAAAGGCCGGGATCGGAGGAGTTTTTCGTGATCATAGAGGAAAAAGTTTAATAGCTTTTGGTAAAAAACTAACGCATTAGGATATCTCTTATTTGGAGCTTCAATCTATTATTTCTATCAATTAACGGACCTATGTGCTAACTATTTAAATTTTAGTTCTTTTATTTGGGATGATTTAGAGGTGAATAAGATTCCTCACACTTTTACTAAAGTGTTGAAGGAGGAATCTATTGGCATTAGGGTGTGATTTGGTTTTATTTTTCATTTATAAAGCTATTTATGCTTTTCTTCAAAAAAAAAAAATTTAAATCCTCTGGCCAAGATTGATCATACTAAATTGTATTAAAATAATTTAAATTCAAATAATTAATATAATCTAAAATAGACTAACTAAAATCACACAGAAACGTACAATCAACGAGATTCAATTTTTTGTATTAAAACAACTCAAACGGTAGATTTTCAAAATTTAAATCAATAACTATTCAAATACAATATTTCACTCCATTTTCAAAATAGTAACCCTTAACAAACAAAACCTTAAATGAACAAAGCTGCTGCATATATCATCTGATCAATAAACAATACAAATGTTAATTGATCATGGTCTAAGACTTCGTTTGGGACGATTTTTTTTACTGCTGCTTAAAATAGCTTTTTAATACAAAAAAAGCCGACTCAAACGAAACCTAAATGAGCTTCAACCACACAATTTTGAGAAGCATTACTACAGTTAAACTATCCTCGAATGTTGCATAAAATTGCAACCATAACATTATTATTGAAGAACTAGAAGATCCAAATCAAACGATGTTGCTTTTTTTCTTTTTTGGTAGGAGAATCTCATATTGCAAAAAGTTAAAACTTACATTCAAATGATTAAACTAATATAGCACTATGAGCTCCAACAAAATAACAACTCCCCTGATAAAAAACTAAACAAAGATAATTGATATTTGATGAACTAGACCGTTCCTATTAAAAAAAGAATAGCCCAAGAACATGATACAATTGTATGATCATCCCTGTAAGGTGTGAATGATACAGGCTTTTATCAAGCAATATGTTAGAACAGGTCAGCATCTGGCACCCCTTCTGGCCTTCGGAGAGTACTTCTATAAATCATATGGTTAATGATCTCATTCACAAAGGCTTCAATAGCTTTAGGTTATGGTGAGCTAGTGGCTCAATAAGACATGTACAAGTGAAAAATAGATGAAAACTACTTAGTTGGCACGAATTCGAGTTAACTTGCAACTTGCTGTAAGGCGAGGTTCAGCTCCTGTGCAGACTTTGCAACTGAACCTCCTCTTCTGCCAAAGAACAAGCAAAAATGTCAATTAAAATGTAGAAGAAATGTTCTAGAGTTGAGTTATTTTCAATCCTTAACCTATAAAGTTAAAGCCGACTCTATAACGAGTAATTACTAGAGGACCATTTGTGATCATTTGTTTTTTTGTTTTTTATATTTTCTTTTTATTTTGTTTTGTTTATATATATATAGAGAGAGAGAGAGAGAGTAAATTAAGTTATGGGATGGCAGCAATCATCAGCAAAGCAATGACGGCGATCATCAGCAGAACAGTGGCAGTCAATGATGGAATAACAAAGGCAGCAATCATCAACAGAACATCCATTGGTTGATGGTGCTCGCCGGTGGTGGTGAACAAATGAATAGTTGAAGAAAACAATTTTTCATTAATATATTTAATTAAACTACAAATCTAATTATTGAATATATTTAATGAATTGTTTTAAGAAAATAAATGAATATTTGGAAAAGAAATTCATCATGCCACATTCTTGAGCATATATAGGAATCTATCTCATCATGTGTTTACATCTATTCCCTCTCATAAGAATTTTGATTGTGAAACTAGTTGAATGCACATATATGATGAGTGATTTATTTTTAATTATGACAATGACAAGATATTTTCATTCATATATTTAACCAAACTATATTATTCCACTCAACTTAATAATTTGCATTTTTACTATTTTTAATAAGGTGAGTTGTTTTTAAAAACACCTAAGAGTTGCTTGAGGATTTTAAAATCATCTTGATTTGTTTCTAAAAATTAAAATTAAAATATATTAAAAAATGCATTAAAAATATATTTAGAAAAGAAGCAATAAAAACAAAAGTAATCCCAAACAGGCTTAGGTTTAGAAGCGGTTTGCTGATTTTTATGACATGACCATAAATTTCTTATGTCCAGAAGAAAGGTGCTTGCCTAAGATGGTTATCAGTAAATACAAGACTGCAAAGTGAGTACCAAATCAGCAGCTTTGTAAACTACAGCTCAACCCAACTTGGGAATCAGCAGATCTAAACTAGTAATGACAAAGTTAACCCGAACCAATGAACTGACTAGGCTAGCAGGGATGCAAAAATCGTACAAAGATCGCTAAAAAATTAGACTGACTTTTGACTCAGATTAACATATAATGAGTAAAGTCAAGCTCTTACTAAACATATATTGAGCCGAGCTTAGATTGGATAGAGCTAGCTCGAGATTGAATTGCAATGTACATGCATTCATGTAAGAATAGATGCGCACTATTAGTTAGGTCTTTATATTTTTAATTAACATAGGCATGCATCTTAACACGACAAAATGAAGAAACATGATTCTTTTTTTGTTCAACCAATGGAGAGGGATAAAGGTTTGATGTTGTTGTTGTTGTATGCATCTGTATATATGATTAGGCTATTATCCTTTTAGAAAGATGGTAACTCATAATTTCACATATCTTATAGTATTCAATTATAAAATGAATGGTTGAGATTTAAGGCATATTTCAACTAGGTATGAGTGCATGCATGTGTGTTGGATCAATAATTTCTCTTAGAAGAAGTTCAAATATCATGCATTGGTTGAAGCAAAAGATTGGATAGAACCTGCCTATGTGCAACTTAGCTGGACTTTGATATCAAATTGAGTCACTAATTGCAAAATGTACTGGAAACAATAAATTGGACCACAAGATATGATTGGCTCAGGGCCGTATAAGCTCAACATTGGAATTTTGTTTAGAGCTTTTGCTGGCTAAAGAGGTAATAGAGAATTAATGAAACAATAAGGCAGCAGACCTGGTAAGAGGGAGGAGACTGTGCTTAATCTTTTCTAACTCAATGAAGCATATATTGCAACGCTCCAGCCTGTACAGAACAACCATAGAATAAATCAAAAATGTTACATCAATCACAAATACAAACAAGCAAAAAAAGCATTCCAAAGGATGTTGAAGAAACCTTTTCTCGGCTTGTAGGTCAACGCCAACAGAAGATCCAGCTGATAATGTTGAATGAATTACAGAACCAAAGTTTCTGACAAGCTTCAGCAGCATTTCAAGGGAAATGCCCAAGTACCTAATTTTAAGAAATCATTAAGCACATAGACTGCATAACTCCAATGGGTGAAATAGCGAATCTAAAGTCTAAACCTTGAAATTGAATGAATAGTAATTTAAACACTTTATAAGATGGGAAGTTAAGCATATGTTTATTTGCTAAAATTTATGATGCCAAAGATGGAATCCATTAACAGGTGCAGGCATTTCAAGAAACCAGCAATTTCGATCAATAGATTCCATGTGAATCATATTTGAGAAGATCAAGGCATTATTCTTGTCTCTAACAAGTGACATAGACCTCACGATTTCAGCACAATGACAGTCAATTTAAATGTTCAACAATTTTGGAACATTAGCCATTGCTGAATTATTTTGGTTGGGGAAAACAATAGATTACCAATAAGCTGCAAGTACATTAAGCTCCAAGCAAAGCTGAAACTATCCATATTATTTGAACCAAACAGGAAATCACAACTGAAGTAAACATATCAAATACAAGTAAACAGTATAAAAGGATCATTTATAGTTCAGTTAAGGAAAATCTAAAAATTAAATGCACATACCTATCAATCTTACTGTCTAGAAGACATGACAGAAGTGGTAAGAGGCAAGTGCACAAGTCCAACGTGATGATATCACTCTTATCCATTAGAACACTTATTAAATCTGAAGTGACCTGTAAGATATAGCATAAATAAAACATATGGCTTATTGTCCAAAAGCTGCACTAATTTTAGATACCTACAGCATGATCAGACATCTTTCCCAGCGCACTGATCAGACCCTTTACGTCCTTCCTTCTCCAAAGTTGCTGTATCACCTGCAATTTATGCACACAGATTAGAAGCCTATTCCACGGTGGTCTATTTAAATTCTCTCTAGAATGTTTTGAAGAAGCTTTGGAAACCATGAGTGATTCGACAGGCTGTAACCTTAGGCTTTAATAAAACAAAAGCACAGCCGTTGTACAGCTCATAAGTGATTGAAAGACGGCAATTATGGAGCATGGTGCAGTTAGCCGTCCAACAAAAAGTTAGGCCACAGTTCAGTGGTTGTAAAAAAATTTGAAATTTGCAATTACATTAGTAGGAAATTTTATCAGTTGCATATCCTCAACCAACTCTTGCCCTCGTTGTCAAATCTCCAATAACCCATTGCCCTATATTAAGTGTTTTTTTTCTTTGTTTTGCAAGCATACTCGACGGGGAATTTAGATTTTAAAGCTTTCTAGAAGATAAGATATTAGTTTTCCCAAAAAAAAAAGACTATTATTAATAGACTTTCATTCCATTACTAATGACAATAGAATTTTTTCCATTAAAACTGTTAATAGATTTTTTCCAGTACTAACATAGATACTATCCCTACAATATTTTTATTCCACCCAATCCAAAATTAATAAAACCTTTGCACAAAAAACAAAAAAAAAAGACCAAATCAAGCTCAACAACAAGTTTTGTGTCATTATGTAGGTCAGCTACATGAAGCATTTTTCTCCTTTGGGCTCAAACATCAATTTTTTTTGTGGATGAAACCATTGTGGAGGACTAAAAGGTTAATTACATTTTTAACTATAGGAAGAGAAGACTCTCAATTAAGGATCTCAAGTATGCTCTAAGTTGAAAATCAACAACATACATTAGATATGGGGAATGGGTAATTAATTTGAACAACATCCTATAATTCTATTTTCTTAGGTCAACCCTGTTGGCCTAATCTATGAAAATAAGGGCTTTATACCACGGGTTTTTTTCTTCTCTCAAGTATTGCTGGTTCTAATTTTGTTATTGAACTGGATTCATGTGATAGCTATCATGAGGAAATACCAGAATTTGTTACACCCCATTCAGAGGTAAATTTGAATTTTAAAAAGACAGCAATAGTAAAAGGGAAAACAGGAAGTATTAAGACGGATCATTCTTCTAGTTCTAGACAAAAACTTTTTAAAGAGCTCCAATCCTTGGGACCGGTGGAAGGCATTCCAAGAAGGAGAATGGCTAATCTTAGTTCAAAAAAGTTTGTGAGGGGTTCTTCCCCTTTAGTTCTTTAATGATTTCTTACTACTACATGGATATCTATAGCATGATGATTCTTGGAAGAATGGAAGATACTTGAAGAGGGAATTCATGTTTAAAAAGTATCTCAGTTTATTAACTTTGGATTATGGACTTAGGCTTTGGAAGAAGATTCAGGAATATCTTCTAGTTCTTACTGATGATTATCAATTATTGATAATTATTTGTTATCTTAGTTCTTTTCTTAGTTTCCTTTTCTTTCTTTTAGTTTTATATTTGTTTTCTAAAGTTACTTTAATTGTTTATGAGATCTATACTAGGTCTTATTTTTAACCGGTTGGGAACTCTGGGATACTAATCAACCTTTTAGGTTGTTTTATTTATTTGGTATCCCCTCCACCCCAAGGGTTTTTAAATGGGAAATAGTAGGGTCTTATTTCAATTATGGTAATTTTAGTTTAATAAATATGTTTTCAATAAGGTTTCTTTCCATGTTGGAGCAAGGTACCATTAGCTTTTTCTTTTATTCTAGATTGTAATAGGTTGTTCTTCTTTTTTTATTTAATGCAATATTGCATTCTCTCAATATATATATATATATATATATATATATATATTCTGAAATGAGTGAGCTCTAATATGTCGACAGACACATCCTTTCATGATGAAGTTTCTGATTCACTTTGGATAGAAAAGACCCACAAGCATGATGCGTGGGCGATAACGTTTCAGAGGTACTAAAAATGGCTCAAACATATGGCATTGATGATTTATACTTATGTGGCTTTGGGGGAAAAAAGCATATGGTCGATCTCTGTAGAGAGATACCAAACATGTTTAAATTCAGTTCACTGAGACTGTTCAAGGATTTATCAAAATTTCCAACAATACTTCCATGCCATCCCCACAAAGAGGATAGCGAAAAGTTTTGGACCATCCTACAATATTAAGAAAAATGTGTATGGTGTGGTGTACATGAAGCAACCATGAACTTTGTTTTAGCCTATCATACCCACACCAAGAAATAAAGGTATATGTCATGTATGACAGACACCATGACAATCAATCTAACAATGAAAAAAAAGGTGAGTTATATGGTCCTGGTTTCTCTTATAAGTGTTAGTGATATAGAAGAATTATCCGTAACTAAAAAATAATAGCAACTACTCTGCATCACCCTAAAAAGGAACCATCAAAAAGCATGCGGGCCACCCCAACCCATCAAAAAAGGTGTCAATGGTGTGGTGCATGAGACAATCACAACTAATTTGTATTATATATACTAACCACTCTAAGAAAGGCAAGTAAAGATGGTACATACACTATGTCAAAATCCAAATTCCTCATCACATCAAGATATGCGTAAATTTGTATTTAAATTTCCTGTTAAGGTTTAGTATAATTTATATAAAAAGTTAAACTTAAACAAAAAAAAACCTTCCAGTGTGCTAAAAAGGGTACATATGAGACACCTAGAACATCATCCAGATGAAATAAAGGACTTCTACCAAACCAAAAAAGATATATGTGAGTCTCGCTATAATCCGTGCCAATTAAAAAAATAGCAATAAAGTAACATAGAATGCCTCTTATTATGCAAAGGCATATATCGACCATAATATAATTAATGTCTACAAGCAAAATAGTGATGAAATAATACTGGGAATTTCTCTGCAAGAGAATAATATCTAAACCCTTGTGAGCTTTGGTCAGCAAAAATGTGGGAAAAAGAACAAAAGAGAATACAATATAATTATATATACCACATTAAGTGTCATTAAAAAAAAATCAACACTATCAACTCTTAAGATTTTTAGAATTTAAAAAAAAAAAGTGAACATACTAGATGAGGGCAGAGCTCTATACATGATGTGGGATTAAGTCTTGCATCCAAAAATTTATTACTTTAGGGCAGAGCTCTTGTGTAATTCGAGTGGGCTGGAGGCGGATCACACTGGTTGTGCGAACAGAAGAGCAGACCGTTCTTCCTAGAGGCAAAGGCTACAAGTGATATTTGCGATGTGTTTGGCTGAATCGACAGGTTGGAAGCACGTGAAATGAGAGCAAAGGTTTCATGAATTGGACGAGGTTCGATCTTCGCAAGAGGCGAAGGCAACATTCGCGCTTGGACACACGTGAGTCGGGCGGCTTCGGACGGTAGCTAGACTCACGAACAGAAGGTGGGCTCATGACTAGGAAGCGGTTTTGCAAATGAAGATGGGGCTCGCGACTGGAAGCAGGTTCGGGTGGAGGACACATAGGACTAAAGGGCAAGGATTGGAGCAAGATTTGAGGAAATTGATGAAACATAACGTAAGTGTGAGGAGGATCAACGAGCGTGATTACCCTTCTTCCTTCTTCAGTTTTTTGTCTCTTTAATTGACCGACTTGCCGAAGATTGTTATCATGATGAAAGGTTGAATCATTTGAGCATAAAACTGTATGCAGTGGGGTCGGATTGGAATTGTGGAGAGATACATCTCTTCAGAAATTCTCTTTTTTTTATTTTTTATTTCACCTCTTTTTTTATTTAATTCATCAACAATGACATAATCTATAAATCTCAGCCCTGATGGATTCTTAAACCATTGCAAATAGATAAGTGACTTAAAGCTTGACCATTAGCCATAAATTTGAGCCTTGATGGATTCTTAAACCCTTGCATATAGATAAGTGACAATCTGATTAAAGCATAACCATAAGCCATAAGAAAATGATTTCTTCCACACCTGCAGATCAAGTAATGGGCCCCCAAGTCCATAAGTATAGAGGCAGGGCGGTGCAAGGAAAAAATGTTTATACAACAAGAACAAAGATCTACGTTGGCTTATCCTGTCTTCTAGACTTTTTTAGTTGGGATCTTGATTGCATATCAGAAGGCACGGAAAGAGTAAATCATTGCACAGAAAATAATTGAATAAAAAAAGAATAAAACATCATAGTCTAACGAAAGTACTTGTAATTTTCTCAAGCGAGAATGTGTAGTGTCAATGAACTGTCCATGATGGTCCAATAAATCAGCAATCGCATCCTCATCACTAGCAGAAACAGTCTCATTTCCCACAGCCGAAGGGCGTACTCTCTGTTCAAAAGACATAGTATGTATATTAGAATTACACAAGTTAGCAGCTTAGTTAATTGCGTCATATTTAGTCAAATTAAGGAATCATTGCAGAATAAGTTTACTCAACGCTACGCTCATATATACCAAATTACAAAAGAACTGCTAAAAAAAAAAGTGATCCAAGGTGAGCTCAGCTTAGCATCATATATATATCACACTGAATTCTCGAAGCCCCAAATGGTGCATGAAAAAAAGGTGGGAATTGTTTATCAAAGCAATTTTAAATATCAAAGTGAAGATTCAAATTTTACAGTTCAAATTATTTCCTGTTATTAGTAAGAGTGCCGCAAAGTACACGACAATTCAGTTCCTAGCAATTTCCACAAAACTAAAAGGGGAAGAAGGCATACCAAAATAAATTTTTAGGAAAATTAGCTAATTAAATAATCAATATTAAAACTATATGAAAGCACTAAAAGGAATGCATGCAGCTATATGCATCCAAAATAATAGTTAAACATCAAGATGATGCAATAGAGACAACTCAGACAACACGTTGACAACATTTTTGGCATTACTTCTATTCATAAATACAGAGTAAGCATTAATCCAACATTTATGATACTTTGCAAGATACCAATGCATTCAAAGACTAAATTTAAAGGAATCGCTAAGCAGAAACTTCAATGAAACCATCCAAATTTTAATTCGACCCTCATAGAATCTTACCAATGCATAGGGCCGGTTCATTCCAGAAAGAAAACTATCAGAAGAATCAGATCGAGTTGGGCCTTCAGATCCAGGAGAGCAATCCCGCCTTTCCCAATTTTGTACAAGTGCTCTTGTTCTTGCTAAATATAAATCATTAGATTATTTTACGCAGGCAATAATTTCTCATAAACAAAAGAAACTTTGCTTACCTCCTCTTGGCATTTCAAAAGAGCTTGAATCTCTGGATTTATGCACTCTTATGTCATCTATATTCAAAAAGCCCACAAAATTACTTGTTCAGTTCTATTTATTGATCAACATGCATTTAAAAACCTTTGTGAAGTAAAAATATGCCTTTAAAACATGCAATCTTCACATATTATATGCAAGGTTACATCAAATTTCAAAATTTATAACCAAAAGGAAAATCAAAATCTGGAGATGAGTGGTTATTATCATATGAATTGGGCATGTCGCTTGAATGCACTGTTTAGACAGAGATGCCGCAATGCGGAATTGAAAACCTTCTGACAGCATTATAACCGTATAGCCAATGTATTAAAAAATTCTGATTATACTTTCCCAAATTTAAGCACTTCAAATGTGCAAATTATCTATTGAAAATTTGGTGGGAAGCACAATAATAAGAATCTAATTCACAACTGGTGTTATTAAGTTTTTCATCCATGATAGTCCTCTACCTGCTTTCCATGATCAAAAAGGTTATGCAACTACTTTCTTTTAATTATAAAAAAAAAAGTTCTAACATGTAGTACGGATTTTTCTAAGTAACAAGAAATTCTCCACAGCATAGATATATGTAGCGATAAACCTTTTAAGGTAGTAGGCTTCATCCAGTAAAAAAGGATTCCCAATAAACTAACAATGACAACAAAAAAATAACAATGACAATTATCTGACTGAAAGGTGCTCAAACTACAGAGTCCATCCATTCATACAAAGAAGCAACCTCCAAATATGGCTTATGAACTTATCCTTACAAAGTCTTGGGAGTGGGAGTTTGTTAGGATGCCCATGGAGCTACAAGCATTTACAATTCCCCTGTAATGAAGAAACAGTGGTTCCTAAAATCTCATTCAAAACAAAAAAAGTAACCAACTGAGCTGGACCTTATTAAGCACTATTATGATTGTTAATCAAATAGATGTAGCATACCCTTTAATAGTTTTCGCACAATACATCCAAATGTCACCATAACTAGGACAAATTACCCAAACGCTACCGCTTTCATTAGCTTTCTTCCACTTTGTCATGTAAAAATCAGAAAGAAATGTGCCCTTGAGAAGAGAATCAAAGAGAAGCAAGCAAAATTAACTGCTTCGCTTTTTAAGTGCAAAGCCCTCCAAGGGAAAACTTCAGTTATACAACTTGTGATGCAGCGTGTCTTTAGGGTTTAGAAGCATTTTTAGGGAAGAAAATACAAAAACATGGAAGTTGGTTGCGGCATACAAGCTGGTAACAGAAATGGCCATTTAAAAACCAAGAGCTCCAAACATGTAAGAATATCATCACAAATAGGAGCATCATTCATCAATAAAAGGCAGCACCACTTTGGTTGTAAAAAAATGGAGAATATAGCACAAAGGTACCCCATGATCTAAAAAGGAAAATGTTAGCAACATAAAGATGATTATCCTGCATATGATGAATACTTGATTTCATTTATTTATGCAAACTTTCACATATATGACATAGCTAACATTTATAAAAATTCATGTACTGAAGAAAGTCACAAAGTAGAATGAAAGTAATCCTCTACAAATATAAATTCAATCAAATACAAATTTTTCAAATATGAGCAAAACATACACATCAGTTTAGATGAAATCACAGAACATCAATTGCATCAATCATGAATCAACATCTGTATAATAAATAAATTAAAGTTTAAATACACACACAACTTAAAGCCTGTTTCTACTATACAAGAAAGCAGAAGCGGCAGCAAAAATCTAACCAAACAGAGCTTAAGCACGAGTGGCAGAATCAACATAAAAATGAAAGAAAAGAAAACAAAGAATGAATCCTTAAATTGTTGATGTTGATCGCTACAAACAATGAACTATTGAATCCTAAAAGCTTAAGCATTGAATACTTGAAGCATGAAGGAAATGTGAATCCTCCAGCATCGATAAGACAATGAGATCCCATCGAACTAAAACTTAAAATATTTCATTTATCATTCTCTCAATTAACATCCATTCGTTTTATACTGTTTATCTCCTAGGTTTAACTAGTTGAATTTGTTTCTTATAAACGAAACATCTATTGATTTTATAATTTTAGCATATATGCATCCTAGAGGAGAGTTTCCATATACACTTCGAGCATCTTGGGAATGTGATTGGGTTATAAGTTATGCTCAATTTATTAGTCATTAATATCTCCTTGGACAAATTGTTGTAATAGTTAATTTTCAGATATTTTTAATGAATAAAATACTTAACCATAAATTTCAAATGCTCTGTTCATGTTATTTACAGAAATATGTTATTTTAATCATATTATGTTTATTGGAATAGCTTCAAATTTACCAACTTATCACCTTCTAACAGCTTTCCGTCTAAATATTCTAAGCTCAAACGCTGTGCTATGACAATTAATATTCAAATAGGATAGATTGCACTAAAGCAACCGATTAAATTTAAAAAGATAAAAATATGATATATTTGAATTGGTTTAGGTGGCTAATTCAATGAAGAGAGTTTAGAAATTGGCTAAGGGTTTAAATTAAATCTGAACTTTGAATTTAAAAGTCTAAATTATTTCCTCACCCACACCCCCTTTTGCCTTATTCCACTTGAATGTCAAGGGTTCAAGACAACTTAGTTCCAATAGAGATCTTATTAGGAGAGAGAAGGTACAAAAATCAGAGATTCAAATAATATTGAATAGAAATGAGAGAGAGCATGGATGAAGAGAGTGTGTATATGATCAGAAAAATTGTGGGAAGAGGAGGTGAACATGCAAGATATTGTTGTAATCAAAAGAAAAATTACAGGAAATTGTTGAAATCCAGAGAAAAACAAGAAGTTAAAAAAGTACAAAATCAACAAGAACTTCTCTTTGATAAAAAATATTAGCAAAACAGGGAATCATAAAATCAATAGGGAATTAAAAGAAAAGAAAACTAACAACAAATCTTAAAGCAATTGATGCTAATAACTCAAATCATCAAGGGAACAACGTGCTACTAAAGTTTAAAGCTCAAAGAAGTAAATGTGAATCCTCACCCACACCCCTTTTGCCTTATTCTACCCAAATGTCTAGGGTTCAAGCAAGTTAGTTCCAATATAGATTCTTATAAGGAGAGAGAAGGTGCAAAAATCTGAGATTCAAATAATGATTGAATAGGAAGGAGAGTGCATGAATGAAGAGTGTGTACAGGGTAAGAAAAACTGTGCAAAGAGGAACTGAACATGCAGGAAATTGTTGTAATCAAAAGAAAAATTACAGGAAATAGTTGGAAAAACAACAAGAAAGATAAAAACCTACAAAATCAACAAGAACTTCTCTTTGATACAAAATTGATGCAAAATAGAGAGTGATGAAATCAGTATGAAATTAAAAGAAAAAAAAAAACTAACAACAAATCTTAAAGCAGTTGATGCTAATAACTCAAATCATCAAGGGAACAGAGTGCTACTAAAGTTTAAAGCTCAAAGAAGTAAATGTGAATCCTCAAGAATAAAAAAGAAATAGAAATCCTATTAAATTATACCTCAAAATATTTATCTATCACCATCTCAAATTACATGATTCTAGCCACTATTTATAAAACTAATCCTAACACAAGAATAATAAAATTACCATGAGAAAAAAACAAACTAATCCAAAATGAAAAATGTCACTTAACCACTAATAATGAGCTTAAAATAAAATATTAAATAAAATAGAATACACCATGGCACAAACCATGAAATAGATAGTTAATGACATTTTGGACATGTTTGGATGCAGGAATTAGGCTGAATTTATCGAGGATTTGATCTAAATTTTGCCAAACGTCAAAAAACGCAAATTGAAATCTCATAGAAAGTCTAAGCAGTACTTTACGGCTTCTTTTCCCATTTTCAAGGTAAATACCAGATTTACCTAATACAATAATTCAGCAAATTAGAAAATTCGACAGGATTTAGTATAAGTGCGCCAAAGGCTAAAAAATAATTACCTTCATGGCGAGCTCCCGTTGAGACTTCTAATCCAATGACATTGAAGGAGGCGAAGAAGTTTCGAGACTCTTTCAAAACGCTACTTCATAAATAGTATAAATAATTTAATTAAAACATATAATTTTTTTTTAAATTAGAATTAATAATATTGAACCATGTAAATTAGATGCAAATAAATTAATCTTAATAATTAATATTAAAATTAATCTATCAGCTTTTTGAATTTTCTTATCTTTAATTAATAGACTTAGGATTAACAAAAAAAATTTAACTTAAAATTTTTATTTTACTTATTTAATAATTTACTAATTAATAATTAATTAGGATATTAATATATAATAATTATGATTCAATATGATTTGATTAATTTCATTGCAATTATATAATATTTAATAATTTCATTATTTTAATAATTATTTTTAAAATATTATTTTAACTAACAAACATTAAATCTTTAAATAAGTATGTTGGCTCATGAAAAATAGCACGAATGCAATGAATCCCGCTTTGCCATCGTAGGGTTCCATTTACCTTAAGTCAGATTGAAATAACCAGATTCCCCCTGAGGGTAGTGTCAGGGTTTAAAGATCTGAGGTTCTTACTTCCTATGAGCCCAAGCACTCATAGTTAATTACCCCTCTTACTACGTAAGAGAGAACTCTCGATTAAGGATGAAATAATTTTAGATATTTTTAGTCTCAATAGTGGATGAAATGGAGGTAAACCCGATCAAGATCCCATGGTTCCGTC